CTAGCTTGCTGAGACATTCTAGATATTTAAACTAACTGAATTTTTTCTTATTTCCCTTTTTTGCATGCAAAAATAATACATTCAACAACTTGCTTTGATATTATAAGGAATTTTTTTYCCCATTTTGRTTTWAAAAKGTCAACATAAACAAATAACTACCGAGCAATATATAATTAGGTGGTATTTACATAAAAAACTCTTCTCTTTATTTTTTCTAATCAGCTTTTTCTTTGGCAGGGGGACAAACCATTGCTTCTCATTGCCAAGACAGCCCACAACACAAAATACTGGTCACATCCTTATGTCCTGGGAACAACATGAATTCTGGGCAAGGGAAAAGCAAATTTACTGTTTTATTCATGCACCTCATTCAGGATCCTTGGGATCCTATAGGATCTTTGGGTTCCTGTAGAGGGAATGAGATGTATGAAACAACAATAATGACAATTCTATGACGTTGTTAAATATCAAATTCAGTCAGGCCCACCTGCTCCTACTGACAACCCGGGGAGATGTCATGGAGGAAGACACAAGTATTTTGTGGCTGCACAGCCCTGCATGAGGACACAAGTGCCACCTGAACATCAGCAGTGCAACCCAAGGTCTCTTTACATTTGCTACTGTGCACAAGTGCATAAATGCAGCAGGGCATTTTTYTAGGTTCTTGGCAATACATTTTGTGCATCTGAGTTTGGAAGCTGTCACTAACATTTTAAATGCTTAGTGGCAAGCTTGCTATAGGAAACAGTCACCAAACAAGGAGAAAATTAGAATTGGATTGAAATAATTAGATACAAGTGCTCTAGTTAGAGAATTATTTCATTCTTTAATGCTCATTGTCATTTGTGTGGGTATAGCTGGATTACTCCCAGGTTTCTATCAGTTTCTACCAACAAAAAGCTCTGTGGAGAGGGAAAAACTGTTGGATGCAAGACATGAAAAATCCTTAGTGTAAATGAAGATTGGGTTTATATATCTTGTCACATACACATTAAATCCACACAGTCTGAACTACATTTACTCTTTTATTCTGTCACCTGACAGTTACTGTACATTGTGTGGCAGGGCCAAGTTCAGAGCAGGCACAGACAGAGAAACCAAAACACCATTTGTGATGAATTGTAGAGTGTTCTTCTTCCAAAGGAAGAAATAGTAGCAAATAACCTGGCCACATACCTTCCTGCAGCTTTGTAATGTATTCAATATCATACATAACCTTAACCAAACCAACGCTTTCTCACCTGTTAACAAGTGAGATCCTTGCAAGATCTTCCAACAGAAACTTCCAAAAAGAGAAATTTAACATCAGGCCATGCACAGCTTGCTGCTCTGTGGTATTCTCATTAGTCACCCAGATAGTGTTTGTACTTTCACAAGTTCCCTCGTGGGATATTTCTCTAGTTTTATGTTTAGATATACCACCACTGAGTGCTGTGTGCTGCCCACCTCAGCACCATTGGGGACAGCATCCAGTGATCCACTTAACACTGTTGTTAATGCAGGCTTCAGGCTACAGCAAGAAGAGTTGAAATTGCCTGGAAAAACTGGTCTCTTGGGTGTACAGATACCCTCTGCGTGATTTCTGCACATTTGTTAAATGGTACTAAATAGAACTGCTCACAAAATATCAAAGGAATTATCTACCTGGATATACCTCTCAGGGTCATCCTGTTGTTTGTTGCAGGTGTATTTGGTCACTGTGAGGTAACAAGTRACTCAAGTCTGACTGCTTTAGACTGAGACAGATTTGCAGCACTGAGCCATGGAAGTCAGAGACAGAGGTCATGAAGACCCCCCTTCCWCAGCACAGGAAAAATGCTGCTGGACAGGGCTGAAAAGTTATGAGGAAAGCACAGSTCGTTTTTTCCGAGGCAGCTGGAGTTACCTCAGTGCCACCATCAGAGCACTCTATTTCATCAACTTTGCACATTTTCAAGGCTGCATAGCAGCTCTCTATTGCCCCATATTTTACATATATATAAAATATATGATGTCTGCGGAAGCATAACTCTCACCTAGTACACCCAGAGGAGCCACACGATCAATGTGACAATACAAAGTTTCAGGAATTCAAAACACAGGAAATAAACCTGTGTGCACTGAAAAGTTGGCAACAGTATATATGGGTGTACCAGGAGAGGTTTTGGTGATTGGAGAGTTAAAATAAGGATGGAGAAGACAGGAGGGGGACAATCCCTATCGTGTGTGTATTTATAGAAATACACAATACTGTTTTAAACAGCTTTGTGACAAAAGGAAAATTTTAGCCAAGGTGTTCGGAAGTCCACGGCTCCTGGGTGTGAGCCAACTGGACTATCACTCCCCTTGTACTTTTTTTTGTGATCTTTGACTTCTCTGTGTAATGTGCTCACCTGAATAAACTACCACATATTGTATTGCCAATGGRCACTCTTGGGGCAGTCAACCCTGCTGCAGAGCAAGGATTAAAAATTGCAGAGCAGAAGTTTGTGAAGATTAAAAAAGCCTGGCATGATAAGCACCTTGAGCAATGACCAGCACGAAAGGCACAACAGTTTCTGGATTCCCAGAATACTAAGTTCAAAAGGAAAAGTTATAATGAATTTCATTATAGTTTGACTCAAGGTAAATACTTGATTAAAGAAGACATTACAGTCTGTAAGCTCTGTAATTTTCTTCACACAAACTAATCATTCCAGTTCCCTTCTACTCTAGTACACATCAATTTTCAGTTTTATAGCTTTCAGTGAATTCTTAAATAACATTTACTTTTTCCTTGCATGCACTATTTATTTTTATTCATACAGACATCCAACAAAAACTGAAAGAAACACTGCATTATACTGTAATAGCAGTCAGACATAATCCCAGAGAGACAAAACGTATTTCACTAATTTAGTTTCTGTGACAAAGTGGCAACTAGGGAAGAAATATGACCCCATGTGTAAGACAGCAGCCTAGACCTGCAAAAAATGAATTTGAGGCTCTCTTTTATCATTGCTTTTCCATTTTACTTTGGGCAAGTAGAATTTCCCAACCCTTAGACAACTTGATGTCATTCACTAACACTTACTCTGTGTGAAGAAAGGCACCCAAACSGGTCCCCATGCCCCAGCTCTGCTCCTATAAAAGGAGTGTAACAGCACATTCCTACCTCCACTCGTGTGTTCTTTACAGAGAAGCAGAAGGGAACAAGGGCAGATTAAGTTTTCCATTTACCCCAACAAGCAGAGCAAACTCTTCACACAATGCTCTCTCATCCACGTGCTGTGGGAGGCCATGTCACCTCCCCATGGTTCGCATGCCTGTGTTTTTCTGGTCGTGGCAAGATCATTAGAGGAGATGGAAACTAATGCTGATATGGTTATCTGTGCTCTGATGATTGTACTGAAACTCATTTATTTTACACAGAACATCAAATGGGCGTTGAATGCTGATGAAGTGGTTTTTTATTATCAATCTGTGCTTTTGGGTAGAGAATCATAAATGCTAAAATATCTAAGTACTCCAGAGCAAACTTCCAGCAGTTTTTGCCTTAAGGTCCATCTCASAGATGATGTAAGATAATATTGCTTCAAAATTTCTTTTTTTATCTTCACAAGTACAGTATCTGACCTAAAAATTTCATAGGAGGATATTTATAGTAGCTACAAGAGTTATTTTTCATCTGAATGTGCTTGTATATTTCTCTGAAAGATYATCTCACATTCTGCTGGTAAAACCACTGGAACACAGTTATTGCACAGCATCTAAATCACTATGGGCAGCATCTCCTCAGGCATGCCTGGTCGAGACTCACAGAGAGAGGAGCTGTCTGACAGGCATTTAAAGGATAGCAGTTTCAGAACACATTTTGGCAACAAGGCAGGGGAGAAATCACAAAATACAAGACGTTTTTGCAGCTTACCTTTAAAATTCAGAAGYAGTGTACCATAAAAATAGCTTGGCACATCAAAACTCTGTATTTAAAACTGTAAAAAAAGCATGTCCATGCTGATGCTCAAGACAGGTCAGTCTGGAGAGGTAAAATCCACTTCTAAACTCCCAGCCATATCTGCTGACAAAAAGCACCTCCAGAGATCTTTACTGCCCTTGCATCTGGCATGCTCCAGAAGTCCTGCTTGCCATGGTCTGGGTGCCCAACACCTTCTCCTGCTCTTTCCATCCCACCTCGGGCTCTGTAGACCCAGAMAGCCCTAAGGCTACTGTTATAGAAGGAGTCAATCCTTGCCAACTCTTTACTGTTCCTTCCAGTCTCCCGTTTCATTGTCCCATGCCCAGAACTGATGTTATCTGGCAGCCCTCTGCTATCCCCTTCAGTGCCACTGCATATTGATAAGAACATGGAATTTAAGTTGGAAGGGGATTATAGGGCTYCAGATCTAGTTCTGTGCTACTGCAAATGAATATTTTCTATGGTTCTGAGGCAGGTGACCTGCAAGGGTAAAGTAATGTTAGTAGGAGCACACCAATGTGCATAATTTGTGGATGTGCCTTTAAGAAGCAGAGAAAATTGAGATTTAAGATGAAAGTAGGAAGTCCATGGTACTTTCCTGTACATAAAACAAAATCAATATAAAGAAACATACAGCTGGAAGGAAAGCTAGCTTGATAAAATCACAGTAAATTASAAGTCCTTTAAGGCAATGGATGGTGTAGCTTCTTCCTCAGAATCAGGCACTTCAAATATTGACAGAACTTGTAAGGCACAATCAATACACCAATTCCTTTGTGAACTATTAATTATATATATTGCTGATGAATAATCATTTAATTAGCATAATGGGAGGCTTCAGTGAAAAGGCCGACTACCAAGCATACCAGACCTAAAAATAGCAAGAGCTTTTCAACCATGAGGCTTTGCATGGAAATGCAAATACTCAACTTCTGGTCTTAACRCTTGTTACATCGCTCGGCCAGCACAGAGCTTTCTTATCAAGGTTTTGCCCCTTTCACTGCAGTATTGCCACATGTAATCTGTTCCTCTAAGGCAAGGTGATGAGGGGTTTGGTATGGATTACCTGAATGAGTTCATCAAGCTCTGTTGCATTCACACAGGAATGCTGAGATACAAACGTCTGCTTCTGAATCACAATGGTGGTTCTCTGGGAGGTCTCATGAGGCTGCTCCAGGGCTTTAAATACTGTTGCTCCAATTATTAAATACACGACTACCACCAGAAAAATTGTTGAGACTGTCTTCCATTTCATAACATTAATGGCCGAATCGTTTTCCTCCCGTGAAGCGAGCACGGTAGGCTTGGTGGAAAATGATAATCTTGGTTTGGAGTTCTGAGTGGCCGATTTGGGATCCAGTAAGTCAGGTGCCGCCACTGGCAAAAACAGAAAAAGAAAGTTAATATTTACAGTGCCACTCAGATCTCATAAACTAAACTTCTTGCCGAGAGATTACATGAATTCTGTTTCTTCTAAAAAGAATTCTTAAACTGTTGAATCTTTCTCTTAATCCCACGACACCTTACAACAGATCTGTTGCTCTGAGTAGTAGTATCCATTTTACAAGCATATGCACATTTGCAACATTTTCTATGTCTGTCCCCTTATAATATTCAATCATTTCCAAAAGCAGATTTCCCCTATACCCTCATATTTCATTAAATTGCTTCAAGGTAGTATTTTTCTGCAGAGATTTTTTTTACGTCCGCTGCTCTCCCAAGCACTGCTAAGCAGCTTTCCAGCTGTGTTCTACCTCAGTGTTACAGCAGTAGCAGRAAAATACAAAACCTTCTCTCTCTCACCTATTCTGTCCTATGCTCCAACAAATGCTCTCGGAGAACAGTTCTGTGATCATTTCCTAACTCCCCAGACACGAMTGCAAAAATAAGACATTGCTCATCATACCGGTCTTAACGGGCTAATTGCATATTGATTACACCTTTCAGAAAACACTAGTACAGCACATGTGTGCTTACTGGAAGAGTCACATTTGTTAGAGCTGATATTTCTATTTACAGCTWCAAAACCCCATCGGGTTAGGAAAAGAGCAGCCAAGTGTGTTAATCAAGTACTTGGATAACTCATGTGACTACCAGCAACTACATGGGCACTAAAAACAAAATCCTCCACATCGAGTGCAGGTAAAGGTCCCCTGTGGGAAGATGGCCTCAGCAGTGACCACACAAGCTAWATTTAAATTGTTTTGGATAACCAGTACGTTTTGAATGGCTAAGACGGCTCTTCCAGCCGCTGGTGGGAAAAGCCCAGATCTAAATCTAGAGGAAAGTCTCCCTCAGGACGGCGGAGATGGGATGCGTTCCTGAGGGGTAGGCAGTGGTACTTGGCAGAGTCACCACCTGGGCACCCACCGGGCACCGGCACCCACCGCGGCTCCGGGAGAAGGGGCCGGGAGGAGAGGGGTAGCACCAGCCGGGCCGAGCAGGGAGCCGGGGCACCCCTCACACTGCAGAGTGGGCGCCGTGCACTCCACGCGCGCCGCGGTCACGCCTCCCACTGCTCCGGCCCCCGCCCCACGGGCACCCGGGGGTCGGGCACAGCCCCCCCGTCCCGCACCTTGGCGGGGGGAGCCCCTGATCCCGCCGCCGCCGTGTCTCCCGTGGCAGCCCCCGAGCCCCCAGGGCCGGTGCCGGGAAGCGCTCCCCGTGCGGTCGTGGCCGCCGAGCCCGCCCGGAGCAGCGCCGACCCGCCGTGGCCGCCGGCGGCGAACAAAGGAGCGGGCACCGGGCACCGCCGCCGGCCCCGCCGCCCCCTCCCCGCGGCCGGTGCGATGCTCCGGGGCACGCCGACCGCCCCCGCGGGGTGCAAGCCCGGTAGATCCCGGGAAGCTGCCGCCAGCTGGGATGCTCCGCCGCGGGGAGCGGCGCGGGGGCGAGGCGGCCGGCGGCGGAGCCGGGGCGCGGCGCGAGCGGGGCCGGGAAGGGAAGGGAAAGCAGCCAGGCAAGGTACAAAGGAGCCCCGGGCCGCCGCGGGGAGCATCCCGGGGCCCGGTGCGGGGGAAGCAGGGCAGCATGCAGCATCCGCAGGGCTGGGAGCGGGGAGGCACGCCATTGTGCTCGTACTCACTTCTTATTTACCGACCCGGTGCCCTCTCCTCGCTCCACGGGCAGGCATTTTTTCAGGGCTTGGGTAGATACAGTTAGAGCAAATTTTTTTAAAAAATCAAAAATTTTTTAAAAAAAGGAAAAGAAAAGAAAGGCAGGAGCAGACCGAGAGGAGAGGCTGATGGATGGGTCTGGAGGAGAGGGAGCGGCAGGGGCGGGCGGGCTGGCAACGCGGATCCCGCCGGCTCCCCCCGGCCCCGGGGCGTGCGAGGTGCCTCACGTCGCGCATCGCGCATCGCACATCGCGGCGCTCCCGTGTGTGCGAGTGTGTGCGAGTGTGTGCGAGTGTGTCCGTGCGTGTGTGAGTGCCCGTGCGTGTGTGTGCGCGTCCGTGCGCGCTCCGCTGCGCGGGGCGTGCGGAGCAGCCCGAGCCCGGCGGTGCCTTTTGTGGGGCGGCGAGCAGCCGTACCGCTGCTTGTCCCCCCCCGCCCCTCCGCGCCCCCTTCCGCGCCCCCCGCCGGCGGGGGGGCAGCCGCTCCCCGCCGCTCCGGGCCGCCGGGGGTGCGCGTCCCTCCGCGCCCGTCCGCGCAGGCTGCCCGGCTGGGCGGCCGGCAGATGCTGCAGGGGCGCCGGGCAAAGATGGGAAGGGGAGGCGGGGGAGGCAGAGCGGTACCTGCGGAGACCAAGGTCTCGCCTGGAAACAAGCGAGGAGAGAGGAGGGAGGGAGGAGAAGGCACTRGCCAGCCCTGCCGGCGAAGCTGGATGTGCCGACGGTCTCCGCTCCAGCCCCACACTTGGCCGCCTCTCCAGAGCCTCCCGTGAACTTTTGAACTGTCCGAAATGTCACCGAATTAGCAGGAGAGGGGGGACAAGCGGGGACACCTCGGCCCTCGCCGGGGAGCGGCGAGGGGCTGAAGGGCCGGGCTGCTCCGTCCTTCTGGCTCGGCCTGATTTTAACCCGGTGCTTGGCAGCCTGGYGTGTTGCTGCAAGGAGTTAACTAGGTGGGATCTAGGAGTCAGGGATGGTAGCTGCGCTCCTATCGCACGCACCGCCTGCGCACCGCCTTCTTCCATTTCAGTCTGATAGATACATCAGAAATGCTGCTTCAACTGTGCTTTCTGCCTCTAAAGCGCCTGAAATTATCCTTGCTATCTTTGCCGCGGGCTAACTCCCCTATTTCCCAGTCATCTGTCACCTGTGACACTATCCATAGGTCAGTTGTTCACACTGAAGTGACCAGTGTCTACAYTTGACTAGAAGACAAATCCTAGAAGATTTACTAAAAGAAACCAAAATCTGCTCCCACAACCACTTWCTAAAAAGTCTGAAAAATTACTCASTGTAACAAATGGGTATAAGTCTCAAGCATTTAAAGCCAGAGGCTGTATCTGTAAAAYGGCCAAAGACAGTCATACATCGGGTGTTTAATGGGCTATAATCCYGCTTAAATCAGCAGCCCCATCAGCAAACACTTTAGAAGTCACTTATTTTAACGCTTCTCCATATCAGTGTGACATAATACAAATGAGTGTAATATTGAGTTCCTTAGGACTCCGATTTCAGCGACATCAATCACAGGGCTCTTCCCCCAGTGTGTCCACATGTCTCCACGAGATGCAGCACAGGGCAGGGAGCTGCCTCTGCTATTTCAGGGCGAGCTGTAGCTCATTGCTGCCCATCCCTGGGAAACAGCAGAGCTCTTGTTGAGTAACGAGAGCCGCTGGGCCCAGTCCAACAACCCCTTGCAAGTGGACCTTCAGTCACACCTTCGGTCACCCTCACTAACACAGTCCCAACCCTCAAACACAAGAGAAATGCCTGCTTCTGAKCATTGATTCTCTCTTGGTCAAGGATTTCTTGAAGATGAAAGATTTTCACACCTGAATCTTTTTAATACAGAATGCCTCCCCCCACAAAAACATCATSTTTCCCCCTTTCTCTCCAGCAGATTTCTTAATCATTAGCCTATGTAAACACAGCCTGTTCCTATATTATGGAAAATAATAATTTCACAGGATTTCTTTGAACATCCTATGGGAAAACAGGCGTGAAAATTTTCCTCCATGCTGACCTATAAAATATTGTGGAAAATAGTACTACATGGCTTTCTTTAGCAATCTAAATATTTGGAATGAGATTTTGTTTTTCCTTGAGTGAAGGAATTATTATTAAAAGCTTAAAAAAGGTCATACTTATTGCCTACAAATTGAAATCCATGGGAAGCCTTCCAATAGGTCAGGAGGTTTGGAGCAGGCCTTAAATTTAGGCATTCCACCCAATGGGCAGAAACCATTTTGAGATCCACTCCAGGAGTGACTGCATTGATGCCTTAATTTCAAGAGCTGAAGAGCTGTCTCTGTGAAAGTAGTTATTTCCATTAACTACCTAGTAAATATCTCCAGTGTCTCCTTTCAGTTGCAGATATTTTCCACTTATTGTGGTCCCAGATGCAATCCTCAGCTGGAGCTTACCACTTAGAGTGGACTTGAGCTGTACATTCTCATTCCTACCAGGGATATAAACACTCCAYAGACCGCAGTGGTAGACATCTTCAAATCCAGTAAGAAAACCAGTAATTCTTTTTGTAGTCTACAATAAAAACCATTGTGTATAGCAATTCCCATTTTCTGGAGGCCTTATATAGCATCAGCCCTTACTCTGTGGAGTCATGCCCACCAATTTTTTTTTTTTTTTTGCAGTGTACACCACACATTGTTTGAATATTGTGTGTGACCATTTTGCCCTCAAATTTGGAACTTACRTTCAACCAGCTTGACAAATCAGGCCTGAGCTTTACTAAACAAATACAAATGCAGCACTGACAAAACTTCYCACTAACCAACACAAATTAAGTAGTAAAAGAGGCTACAACATTGAGCTTCATCCTTGCAAGCAAATGGGTTTGCTGCTGAGCCAAAGAGGTTTATCTGAACAAACTGGGGAAAAAAAATTGTAAGATAAAGGATAAGCAGGTTTGTGTATTTCACACTAACATGAGAAAAAGTCACAAAGTACAGGACTGTCAAATGCTGCCTAAAAATGCATTGGCATATATTTGGGATGACCACACTACTCACAGACGGTGGCTGCTGGAAGCTGCTCAACTCTTTGAAATGTTAAAAGTAGGCTCAGCCAAGAGAGACAGGCATGCAGCATGCAGAGGAAGTCAAAGTTGCATGATAAACATAGCAATCCCATATWCATGGAAATAACAGCTGCAGATGATCTAAATGTAGCTTTGATGGGACAAGAGGTCACTTGCAAGGAAATAGTTATTCCAGAAAAGTATTACCCTAGAAAGGCCAATTAAAAATCGTACGTAAGAAGTACCCTTAGCCGCTGCTAACACTTGCTTTTCCTCTTCCTAATTCAGGAGCCATTTCCTCCCAGGGAGGTCATGAAGGACATTTACTTCGTGCCCAGAGCAAGAGTCTTCTACTAAGCCCCCWCCCCTGGGATCAGTAAATGCTCTTCTCCTTTCACCTCTCTAATAAGAGGCACCCCAGGTTCCAGCCTTCTTCAGTCTTTCTTAGTTATCAAGAATTTCTACACTCCCAAGGGACTGCTATGACAAGGGCTCCAGTGAGGGCACTTGCCTTGTTGCCTTTCATGGAAKCTCATCCATATGGGCACCTGTTTAATTGGCCACAGGGGAGCTGTTCCTTTCATCAAACAATGTATTGCTGTAGGCTTTGGGACCTGCTGAACACAGCATCCTCCCTCTTCACATGGCAGCAGGAAACCTCTGTGTCTCTTCAGAATCTGGCCAAACCACACACCCTCTTAAAGTCAAGGATAAACCTCTGTGACTGCTAAGTTTTATTATAAGAAAGCTTTGCAGGAGCACTACTGGACTCGCATAGTAARTTAATTTTAAGGCTCATTTTACTTATTCAGCAGAACTTTCGTACAAATGACTTGTCTCTTGACTTCTTTGGAGACATTAAAAGATCTCTGTCAGTTCTTTATGGATAATTATGACATTAAGGCCATGCCAGGTCACCATTAAACCATTAGCTGTATCCTGCTATGGGAATTTAAACTGAACGAGGAACTGATGGCACAAAGCCTGTTCATCTTTGGAGCAAACAGGAGGGCAGACCATGTTCTTCATAGGCAGTAAGGATGCCAGGCTGCTCCGAGTGACCGAGCTGCAAACACACCCTCCCAGCAAGAAGGAGAAGGCAGGAGACACTTGCAGCTGAGCGAACCTCAGCCCTCCTCTGCCTCTGAAAATGGTAAAGCCCTAAAACAGTCCCATTGAAAAATACGTGATCTCTTCTAATTCACAGTTTGAAATTAGTTAAGCATATGCAGTGCAACTAGAATATGTACTGCAGAATCATAGAATGTTAAGGGTTGGCAGGAACCCTAAAGACCATCTGGTCCCAGCCCTCCTGCCATGAGCAGGGACACCTCCTACTAGACCAGGTTGCTCAAAGCTGTATCCAACCTGGCCTTGAACARCTCCAGGGTTGGGGCATCAACAACCTCTCCAGGCCAYCTGTTCCAACGCCTTGCCACCCCCGCAGTAAAGAACTTCTTCCTAATATCTAAATTTAATTTCCCCACCTCTAAGTTGTACATTCCCTCTTGTCCTATCACTGCAGCTCCCGACAGTGTCCCTCTCTGGCTTCCCTGTAGCCCCGCTTCAGACACTGGAAGGTTGCTATGAGTTCTCCATGCAGCCTTCTCTTCTCTGAGCTTTTTCAGCCTGTCTTTGCAGGGCAGGTGTTCCAGTCCTCTTACCAACCTCATGACCTCCCTGGACTTGCTCCAACAACTCCACRTCGTTCTTATGCTGGGGTCACCAGAGCTGGACACAGCTCTGTAGGTGGGGACTCACCAGAGTGGAGGAGAGGGTGAGAATCTCCTCTTTTGACCTGCTGGCCATGTTCCTTTGGATGCAGCCCAGGATTTGGTTGGTTTCTGGGCTGTGAGGGAACACTGCCAGCTCATGCTGAGTGACACCTCCCAAGTGTGTCAGGTTCCCTCTGGACAGCATCCCTTCCCTCCAGCGAGTCAACTGCACCACACAATATTAATGAGTTCTACCTCACTAGCAAGTTATTATATCTACCATGAGTGTCTGTCCTACAGTGTGACAAATTATTTATTCAGGAGAAAAGCCATTGTTTCTCACCTCATCAATTACTAGAAAAAATGTTTACATGTGCTCATCTATTTTCATACAGCTCAGTTGTCAGTTTTAATTAGGTTCTAATTCTTTCCATCTCTAGTAAGCCTTATCTATTTATCCACTTGCAGCAAGAGGGAAGTTGTTATAGAACCCATAAAGTATTCACTGTTGTAATTAATATTGTGAATGTGTGTTTTCCTTTACYGACTTGCAAACCTCCCAGTGGGTTTCCTCCCTGCCTGTGTCGTGT